TATAAATCCTGATTGGTCTCTTTATTTTTATTTTATAACCGTTTCAGAATACCTCCTCCAGGGTTCCTGGGCCGAATTCTCCTCTATTAGGTAGTAGTGACAATCACTTACTAAAATATTGAAAGTACTCCTTTTCTCCCTTTCCCATTTCCTTACTGATTGTTCTCCTTTGCATTGGCATAAGGAAAAGCCACTGGACCCCACTGTGACTTTTCTAACTGGCCTTGTTTCTTATTCCCAGAGTCTCTCACTCCAGTCAAGCTTTCCTTTTTCTCTACCTATGCTTAGGGTTGCAGGCTCCATCCCCAGTGTAGAGGCAGCCGATCAATGATTCTCTTGGGCCTCCCTGTACTTTGAGAACAATTTTGACCTTTTGTAGGAAACATAAAGGTCCTTGGTTTATTAAGCTCCATTCTTGGATTAGGAGCTTCCATATGTGTACTATTCAAACATTTTGCCCGGATCCTTAACTTGCATTATGGTGTCTGTTTCTTCAGGGTTTTTCATACTGTTTTAAGGATGGCCAGCCTTAAAACAGTGGTTGAGGTTCAGTCAATGAGCCAGGAGGTCACAGGTAAGATTCCCAGCCCCGATTGCCACTGGATCCCCAGTAGGGGGCGTGCAGGAGGCAGCTGATCAATGATTCTTCTCATCGTTGATGTTTCTCTCTCTCTCCTCTCTCCTTCTCTGATAGCAATAAAAATGTTGTGGTTTTCTTTTTAAGGATAACCTCTTCCTGAAACTTTTTCTTTAATTCTAACCGTCTTGTCTAACCCTGGAATCTGGAAGTATTACATCCCAGCTGGGCTGACCTTTTGGATTTGGCAAACTGCCCCGCTGAACACATAAAACTTGCTTATCATTCTCTAACTTCAGCTACAGTTATGGCCTCCGAAAAAAAAAAATTGTGATTTACTGTCTCACCTTAGATTTGCTGTTCATATCATATTAACTCATAACCTTAAGCTATAAATACAGGAGCTACTAGTCAAGATACAAACACTAGAACGTTACTTCATGTCATGAAATGTCCAACTTCCTGCAAAGCCATGAGTCCCTTCTGTGCTCAACAGTTACCCCCTGCATTTCACTTAACCCTCAGAACAGCTGTGTATTGTCGTTACTCTCATTTTCTAACCTTTGAGGCGCTGAGGAAAGCAGCCCAAGGTACACCGATGCCTGGAAGCGCTGGGCTCGCCCACTCCCTCCAACCAGCCGCTGAGGAGGGAGAGGGCGGGGCGGGGCTGCCAAGTGCAAAACCAACCTAAACCCAAACCAAAACGAGCAAAACACTGGACTCCCTCCTGCTTATGTTTTCCTTCCACGGATCAAGAGGCTCTAAGTTAAACTAAGTGCGACTTAACTATATTCAATAATTAAATTAAAACAGACGTGAGTCTATCATCCAGCTCTCCCACGCCCAGCGCCGCGATGGTCCGGGTCCGGGGCCAGGACCAGAAGCCGGCTCCGCGGAGGGCTGCGGCAGCGAGGGCACGTGCTTCCCGTTTGTAAAGGGGAACTGCCTCACCGCGGTGTGGAGGATGGAGTAATACTATTATTTTTACATTTCCTAGGGCCCGGCGGCCCATGTTTACCTTTCAGCCTTGGGAGACCAAGGTAACCAACGCACGCGCGCATCTGCGCGGCGGCGGCGCTTCGGGGTCGGGCCGGCGGGGGCACGGCGCAGGCGCAGGCGCAGGCTCGGGGCACGTCGGGGCCGCGCACGCCCAGGAGCGCGCTCTGCGCAGGCGCGGGCGCAGGTCGCCACAGGCCCGGCGTCAGCTGATCCTGTGCTCGCATCGCTCCGGCCCCTACTCCGCGGCGGCCCTGCTGCAGCCAGCGGCTCCCGCCTGGGCAGCCTGACCGCGGGCTCGGCGACCCTGTCCTCCGGCCCGTCCGCGCCGGAGGGAGCAGCTCGGGACCCCCCAGCGCCGGTGAGCGACCCCCGCTGCGCGGCCCAGGTCCCCTTCCGGCGCGGAGGGAGGGGAGACGCCGCGCAGCTGGGCCGGCCGGGCGGCGGGGGAGGAGCTCGGGGCTGTGTTGTTGGAGGATGTTGTGCCACCACCTCCTCCCACCCGGACCCGGACCCAGACCCAGACCCAGACCCAGAGACCGGGACTCAGACCCAGACCCAGAGACCGGGACCCAGACCCAGACCCCGACCCCGATCCCGATCCCGACCCCGACCGTGACGCCCGGGGTGATTCCACGCCCCCACAGCTTGGGAGGCCGCTGGTGTTGCTGTTTCTGAGGTTCCTTGCACGGTTGGCTGGTCTTAATTTTAACCTTTCCCGAGGAGACTGTAGGCTGGGTTTTGTTTTATCTGTGTGTCGTTAAAGGAAGGGACTGGCTTCCTTCGTTATCGCAGGAAATTATGATCCATTTAAATTGGATGGGCGGCTGTCTTTTTTTTTTTCTTTCTTTCTTTCTTTCTCTCTCTTCATACCGAGTCTGAGTTCCAGTTTGGTTTTCAGTAAATTAAAAGGCTGCGATAAAACAGACAGACAACACGTGGAGCACACAGAAGAGAACGGGGCTTAGAATCTATATGCCAACCAGCCTCCAGGAATAAAAGTGCTTAAGTTTATAAGGGTTCTGAGGAAAACTTAGCAAGAAGTATGGGGATGTCCAGTACCATTAGCCTTGAAACAAACACCTTTTTTTTTTTTTTTTAATTTCATTGATTTCAGAGAGGAAGGGGTGAGGTCAAGAGAGAGAGAGAGAGAGATAAACATAAACATTAATATCAGTGATGAGAGAGAATCACTGATCACCTGCCTCCTGCACGCCCCACACTGGGATAGAGCCTGCAACCAGCATTGGACTGTGACCTCCTGGTTCGTAGGTTGAGCTGAGCCATGCCTGAGGCAGGCTGGCAGGGCAAACACACACACATCTATCAAGGCAACTGTTAGAAGAGGTCCAGACAGAGCCATTGGCTTTGCCTTCTGTGTCTTTCTCTCCTGAGACATATCTGTGCCTGACAGGTATTGGCTTGGCTGGGATCTAATGTCATTGAAACAAATCAAGAGAAGATAATGCATTTGTAGAAGTCATAAGTTATGTTTTTGAACTTAAAATAAAAATGGCTTTAAAATTTATACTTAACTTTCCCCACGTTATTTTTGACACTGTTATGCTAAAATTTTGAAAGTGATGTTTTGTATGGGTAAGTTATCCTATATAATAAAGAGGTAATATGCAAATTAACCCTCATGCCCTCATAAGATGGCTGCCTGTGGCCAGGCTGACAGGGGGGTTAGTGAGGGATGACTAAATGGCTGAACAAGCAGACTGCATGGGGTGACCAGGCTATCGGGGCGGTTAGTGAGGGCTGGCAAGAGGGGGGGCAATTAGGAGCAACCAGGCCGATGGGGGGCAGTAAGAGGCAACCAGGCTGGCGGAGGGGAGGCAGTTAGTGGCAACCAGGCTGGCAGGATGAGAGTGCAACAAGGCCAGAAGGAGGGGCAGTTGGAGGTGATTAGGCTGAGGGGGGGTGGGGGCAGTGAGAGGCGACTAGACCAGCAGTGGGGGCAGTAGGGGGGAACCAGGCTGGCAGGAGGTGGGGCAGTTAGGAGCGACCAGGCAGGCAGGCAGGCAGGTGAGTGATTAGGAGCCAGCGGTCCAGGATTGTGAGGGATGTCTGGGGATCGGCCTAAACCGCAGTTGGACATACCCCAAGGGATCCCAGATTGGAGAAGGTGCAGGCTGGGCTGAGAGAACCCTTCCATCCCCCATGCATGAATTTCGTGCTCTGGGCCTCTAATATTCAATATTTTGAAATGCTCCTTTCATAATTTTAACTCTGCCAACTGCCGAATGAGAGAAAAACATGTAGAATTTGGTTTTTGAGTTATTTTTGTTGCAAGTGTTTAAATGTTTAAAGCAAAGAAATGTATGGATGAGAAGGATTGTAAATTTTATTTATCACAAAGGAGCATGAATTTTAAAAGATTGAAAAATACTACTTTGAATTTGCTTGGTGACACCTAATTTTTATCTGCCCAAAGAAACTTTTGCCTTTGGTGCTTATTGGTTTAAAGGCAATATGTGCTTGTGTTTTATTCTAAGAAATGTGAAGCCCACATTACTTTTCAGAAAACCCAGAGAAAGTATGTTAAATTGTAATGTTGTTTGAAAGTCCATTCTCATCACAAGTCTGATACAATATTAGTTCGTAGCTATGGGGCCCAGTGCACAAATTCATGCACCTTGAAAGGAACTGTGGACTGTGAGGCTGCAGTGGGCACAGGCGCAGGTCTTGGCCCATTCTCCACAACCCACCCAGCCCCCTCCACCACGGCCCCGGGTCCCCTATCTGCCAGCAACCCCACCGCCTCTTCCACGTGCTAATGGCACCAGTCCCACTCTCACCTGCTGGTGGCAGAGAGCAATTGGAGCCAGCACCATCAGCAGGTGCAAGCAGTGGCTGCTGCCCCGATTGCCCCTCAGGAGCAGGGAGAGGTGGAGAAGCCCTGAGGGGCGATTGGGGCCAGCAGCTGCCGCTCACACCCACTGATGACACTGAGCAGCAGCCAGGACCACAGCACACAGGAGCAAAGAATTTTCAGTAACCACCAGAGGCGTGCCCCAGTGACAGCAACTGGTCCCCTGCCTTGGTGTGCCTCCCCCCCCCCCCCCACCTACTCCACCATCCTGCCACGGCTGATGTCTGCCATGTTCCCCGCATGTCCCTTTGTAGTCAGCACACATCATAGCGACCAGTTTTTCCACTGTTCAGTCTATTTGCATATTAGTGTTTTATATATATATAGATATTTTGATAGATAAACACTTTTGGACTCAAGTAAATGGCTTCATTGTTTCAGACATTACTTTAATTGAATATAATTCTAATTCCCAAAGTAGTCTGTCTGAATGTTTGAACATTCCCTTGAAGTTTTCTAAGTTAATTAGATTGGTATAAATGTTTCATAAGGTTCTTGCTCGTATATGTTTTGTGTGTAAAGTTTATTATAAATTACTTTTTTTCTTTAGACATGGGAAAGTCTTTTTCTCATTTGCCTTTGCATTCAACTAAAGATGATGCTTATGGTGGAGTCGCATCAACTGAAAGCATGAGAAATGGACTGGTTAGTAATGAAGTCCATAATGAAGATGGAAGAAATGGCGATGTCTCTCAGTTTCCATATGTGGAGTTTACGGGAAGAGACAGTGTCACCTGCCCCACTTGTCAAGGAACAGGAAGAATTCCTAGGGGTATGTGCATTGTTTCCCTTTAAAGAATGATTTCAGGCATTGGCACAAGAGGAACTAATTGCATGAAGGAGGATGGTATATGATGATGAGTCAAATAGGAAAAAAAATATCAATTTGTGGAATATCATAGAAATCAGAGGGAAATAATTCCTGTGTGCTGTTTCCAAGCCATAGAAATATGAAAGTACGTTTGTGCTCTTCTCGCTGTCTGCTTGGTTAGAGTTGATAATGTGACTCTGGAGAAGCCCCAAGGAAAGGCCAGGGTGGCAGTAGGAGGACCAGTAGAGTCTCTGATAGATGCCTTGGGTTGGGAAAGTTTATATTTGAGTTGGCCTTTGAATGTGATGATTTTTATCTTTGCAATGATAGTGACTGAGAATAAAAGGATTATTTCCGTTGAAGGGATTAATGTACCAGACTAGGGGAGGGGAAGATTACCTGGATATGTTTTTGAAGTAGGGCCAATGGGTTTTTTTGGCAACTGGAAGTGGATAGTGGGAAATCAAGGATGACTACAAAGGTATTTTTTGTCTGAGCAACTGGAAGAATGAACTAGTTATTAAGATTGAGAAAAGGCTTGAAGGTGTGTATGTCAGGAGAGAGCTCAGTTTTAGTTACGTATGTTTGGAGATGCATATGTGACACCTACGTGGATATGTGCAATAGGCAGTTATAATGAGGGCCTGGAATTCAAGTGCAACGTCTAGGCTGGAGTCAGCAGTATACAGGTGATACTTAAAGCTGAGATGGATGAGGGTGTTATAGGATAGTAAGAAAGTATGAAAATTCTAGGACAAGCGAAATAGGGAAACTAAACAGATAGTTAAACAGCAGTTTGCAGCCACCTAGTAAATCCTATCTTCCCTAAATAAGGACACTTAAGAGGAAGTTGTTTGTAGTTCTCCCCAACCAGAGGGTAATAGCTTAAATGACCCTACTCAGGGAGGCAGGTAACAGAAATCCAATTAGTACCACTTGCCAATGAGACCCAAGGACAGACAGATTAAGAGAATAAATCTCATTTTGGTACATCAGCATAAAGCTAATGGATATTCTACTGATCCTCCCTTAAGGACTTTCCTAAATGTCCAGCCTTTAAAACCCCATGAAAAGAAAGGTCCTAGCAGGCCTAACCATTCTCTTCCCCCACAGGCCATGCCATTCTCTCCCCGCACAGACATGAGGTCCCTAAATTCTAAGGGACCCTATGAGACTTGCAACCAGGGGAGCAATGGGCTGCAGCATTTTGTCCCAGGTTAACCCCTGAATCTGTCTCCAAGGCCCCCTTTTCTCTTCCCAGTGAGCCAAGGCAGCCCAGCCTAGACCCTCCAGTTGCTTCTTCTATGTATGCCCTTCCTTGTTGCTAAGTGTGTTTTTGCTACCATCAATAAATTCTTGCTTGCTCTTCTGCACTTTGCCTCTTGATTAAAACCTTTCCTTTAATATGTTAAGCGACATGTCAGTCACCGGTGACTGGCACTATACTTTCCGTCCGGACCTCATCAGTCACTGGTGCCGACAGCATATCGATGAAATCAGATATCTCAGGCTAAATGGAAAGGAAGACGAAACAGGCTTGACGCTTAATGTGTTAAGAAGATAAGAACCAAGGTCTTGTAGTCTCACAGGTAACAAGAGCACCGCGTTCAGCATTGTGGAATAAAAAGCCCTAGCACTGAACCCTTGAGCATTACATTTTGAGGTCAGTGACATGAGAAAGAATTAGCAGACACTGACAGAGCAGCTAGTGTAGAAGGAGGAAATCTGTATTTGGTGTCCTAGAAGGTAAATGTGGAACATATACAAAGGAGAAAAATTGATGGACTATGTTAAATATTACTGATAGATCAATTAATGTGAGGACTAAGAACTGACCATTGGATGTGATGTTGTAAAGACCATTGGATTTGGAATTGGGTACATAGGAGGAGCGGTTATATAGTGGGAAGATAGTTTTTGCATTGAGTTTTACTGTGTAAAAAAGGAGTGAAGTAGTATAGCTGGAGGGTACTGTGAGGTCAGGAGAGGGATTTTTATAAGATGGAGTGAATATTTGGAGAGAATGATCCACAGAGAAAGCATGCAGGAGCTGGGAGAATTATTAGACCTGGCTATTCTTAGTAACAGGAGAGAAGGTAGATGTGTGGACACAGTAGTAGATAGTTTAGGTACATGTGTAGGTACATGTGGTGGTGGGAGCTTGCGAAAGTTCTGTTTGCTACATCCTGAGCTCAGAGTGAGTATGGGGAAGAAGATACTGGATGTTTCAAAAAAAACTTGATGTTATGAAATGGTGGTCTTGGTATGTCAGGTTGAGAGTGTGAACTAAGGAAATTAGTATGGTTGTTGGTATCATTAAGGGCTACTTGAAATTAGTGATCTAAAATCAGATCAGTGAGTATAGTTGGATGCTTGTCTCTCTCACATTTAATTGTGGATATAGGCACAGTAGCTAAGGGTTGGTTTTAACCAGGATTGTAATTTGTAATTTAGCTAAATGAATACCAAGATGCAATAATATGTATATATACACACAAAGAGACATATATTCAACATATATATATATATATGTGTGTGTGTGTGTGTGTGTGTGTGTGTATATACACACACACATACACACACATATATTACATGTGGGTGTGTTGGGAGTAGTCTAAATGAGGGGAAAGTTATGGAGGGTCTGGAAGGAATAATTGAAGCATTATGGAAAGCTTTAAAAGAGAATTTAACTTTGGTGCTCTAATGGTTAATACAAAGATCCAAGTTGTATAATTTCTGAAGATTTTGAGAGCAGTTTACTAAAGGAATGTGATGAGAACCACATGATATTTTGGTCTTTCCAAACCAGACTTTGTTGAGCAGTCACTACAGTTTTAATTAACTATGTTAATAAATTTTTAAACTTCTTTAACTCTTAGGGCAAGAAAACCAGCTGGTGGCATTGATCCCATATAGTGATCAGAGATTAAGGCCAAGAAGAACGTAAGTGATTATACTCATAAAAAAGTGACAAATTGTTTTGCTGTATGGTTTTTGTTTGTTTTGGTTTTTGTTTTTTGGGGGTTTTTTTGCTTTTCAAATTATCTGTATTAATAAAAGGGTAACATGCTAATTAAACCAGGTCGACTATACATCTTCTGGTTGTCCTGCCTTCCTTCCAGACAAAGCCATGGTGTCAGGAGCCAAGGCAGAGGCGGTTAGGGGTGATCAGGCCAGCAGTAGGAAGTAGTTAGGGAGCTGATCAGGCTGGCAGGGGAGGGTAGTTAGGGGCAATCAGGCCTGCAGGTAGACGTATTAGGGGTGATCAGACTGACAAGCGGTTAGGAGCCAGTGGTCCTGGATTGCGAGAGAGATCCTGGATTGGAGAGGGTGCAGGCTGGGCTGAGGGACCTCCCCTCCACTTGCCTGGTGCATGAATTTTGTGCACCGGGCCACTAGCTAACACTATTAAAAGGGGAAAATGCTATCAGATTGTTAAGTAATGCTCTCATATGTTTTTATATCATTAAAAAAAAAGATTTCTAGTTGGGGTAAAGTCTTGAAAGCAGCATAGTATCTGAGTCTTCTCAAATCCATTTATTAAAACAGACAAACTTAAATTAATAGTAGGGAACACACACAGACAAAACATGTTTACTTTTTTTAAATGGGTGTTCCCACTAGCCACAGGATAAAAATGGGTATTCAAATCATGATGACAGCAAGGACTTAAGATATTGAACAGCTGTGTGGAAATTGTGAATTGAAACAAATAGAGTTCCTAAGATTCCCAATGCCACTAATACCCAAAGCAAATACCTTGCCTATAAGAAGAGGATCCCACTCAGAAGACTTTCAGCAAATACCTCTGAGAATAACCTGTTAATATGGGAGTGCTCCTCACACTCCAACATGGAGAGAGTGCGAAAAAGGCCACAGAGATCCATTAAGGGACCATGAAAAGATCAGAGTGGACTGGCCCTCAAAGACCTGAGGGAAACTGGATAAAACCTCTTACAGAAAGGACAGGCTCATCCTGAGAAGAACCTGCTGGGGATAGGGTCCAGTTTATAAAGGGGAGAACAGGTTCAGTCACTAGAGAAATAATCTCAAAACTATAGAATTGGATATTCATACTGGCCATTTTTTAATACCTTTTATAACAACAGAGAATGGCTATAAACTTGAAATTGATAAGCCGTGTTGATATCTCATTGTTTTAAGAGCTTCCAAAGTAGTTATTGATGAGTAGCCACTTCAGGAAATCACAGTGGCAGAATTCACATGTGAAAATTCTGCCTTGGGGAATTCAAGAGGAGGTCTTGAAATCTATATATTTTTAAAGCTCCCTGTCTTGATTTGAATGTGCAGCCCAGTTTGGGAGTCACTGCAGTTATGTTATATCTGTAATAAGCCTGAAATCCCAGTCTCTGATAAGGTAAATTGTAGAGGGCCAGAAAATCCTGTATAATAGAGAGCTAATATGCAAATGGCCATCACTTGGGCAATTTTCCTTAATTATCATCAGCTGAACTCATGGCATAGGCAGAGCCACACCTTAGGAACATGTTTCCCAAGATGGTGGACATGTTGTCAGCTGGGCCTTCATATCAGCCCAGATATCAGCAGGGGCGGAACTAGAAATGTAAATCCAGGCATGCTAGGGCCTACTTAAGAATTCGAATAAGTTGGTGTTACTTCCTGGTATTGGGGGTATAAAATAAATGCACTGTGATGGGTTGTTGTCATTGTCTTCCTGCCCCTCCAGCAGAGAGAATGGTGGCCCACCCAGCTCCCAGATTTAAATCTATCTCTGTGTCTTCTCTCTTTATTTCTAATATTTCTCAATCCCTGCCCGCCTCCACTTAGAACTGGTTCATTTATCTCTCTTCCCGTGCGGGACACGGAAAAGGGAGATCCCTGCCATGTCTGGCCCCCGCCGCATCAGGCCCCCCCCAATAAATACATCTTTTAAGGAAAACATTTCAGTACTTAGTAGACTCAGACCCAAGCCTACTCAGTACTTTTATAATGTAAAAAGTTGATAAAATACATTTTATACAGCTAGCATAATAGGGGGAAAATTCAGGTTGAAAATATCCTCTCTAAATGTTTCATTGTGTAATTTTTGATGCACATATATTTACTCCATTTTCTTTTTCAGAAAACTGTATGTGATGGCTTCTGTGTTTGTCTGTCTGCTGATTTCTGGATTGGCTGTGTTTTTCCTTTTCCCTCGCTCTATCGACGTGAAATACATTGGTGTCAAATCAGCGTACGTCGGTTATGATGATGCAAAGCGCACAATATATTTAAATATCACAGTGAGTAAAACTTTATCTTAAAAATAGTTTACTTCATTCTTTTATGATGTTAAGCAGTACCTTTGTCCTTGTTGAGAGAAGATTAAATGTGATGCTGGTCAGCTTGTGTTGTGTGTGTCTACAGTATTAACTTTCTCTGTCATTTCTGGTTCTGCTGAAAGTGGTGAATAATAAATACGGTCAGTTGTGTATACAAAATCATTTAGCATTTGTAGATGCCTTTGGGAGGATAAATGAATTAAACAATTAATTGCTACCAGAAAATCCTGTATAATAGAGAGCTAATATGCAAATGGCCATCACGCCCTCATACCATCACACCGTAACAGCTCAGACACTCAACACTGGGGAGAGAGGAATGGGGACCAGCCAGACTGTGGCCTGGGAGAGGGACGAGCCGTTTGGCCCACAGTCCTGGGTGCCAGCAGCTGCACCTGCACCTGCGACTTGGGAGAGGGACAAGCCGTATGCTTCACGGTCCCGGGCACCAGTGGCTGTGCCTGCTTGTGGCCTAGCTCAGGAGAAGGAAAAGCCACCTGCCCCACGATCCCGGGCGCCAGCGCCTGTGGCTGCAGCCTGGGAGAGGGATAAGCTGCCCACCCTGCGGTCCCAGGCGCCTGTGGCTGTGACCCAGGCAAAGCTGCCCGCCATGGTCCCCTGCAGCTGTGGCCGGCCCAGGCGAAACTGGCCTGGGTCCTGGGTGCCTATGACCAGCCGGAGGAGGGAATCCTGGGTCCCCGGTGCGGGGCAGAAGCGGTGAGGGTCGATCAGGCCAGCATGGGAGCAGATATGGGTGGTCAGGCCAGTAGGGGAGCAGGTAGGGGTGATCAGGCAGGCAGGCAGAAGTGGTTAGGAGTGATCAGGCGGGCAGGCAGAAGTGGTTAGGGGTGATGAGGTGGGCAGGCAGAAGTGGTTAGGGGTGATCAGGCGGGCAGGCAGAAGTGGTTAGGGGTGATGAGGTGGGCAGGCAGAAGTGGTTAGCGGTGATCAGGCAGGCAGGCAGGTGAGTGACTAGGAGCCAGCAGTCACAGATTGCAAGAGGCAGTTAAACATCCCCCAGGGGTCCCAGATTGGAAAGGGTGCAGACCAGGCACTGGGCCTCTAGTCTGTGTATAATCTGTTTACTTTTCAACATTTGTTTCTGAATTTGAGACAGTTGTGAATTAAAATTTAAAAAGTTGGACCTAGTGTTACCCAAGTATAGAAGTAATGCACCTTTATCTTTGTCCAACCAACCAGGCTTAAATCTTTTCCATTTTTTCTCCATGGTGACCTGATAAAAATTTCAATTTGTGTATAATATAAAATACCAATTTCTTTTAAACCAAATTTATTTTAAAGTGCTGCTAAATGGCCATATTTGTATTTATTAGAATTAGAAATAACTTTATTAACATTTAATAAACATTTAGATGAAATTTAAAAATTATTTTTATTGAATTTTTGCTAATGCCACAAATACCTTTTCTAACATTTTCAGCCTGTACCATTTCTGGGCCTTTTTTTTTTTTTTTTTTTTTTTAACACTATTGTAGCATATTCAATACATTGTACTCATACATAAAACCAAAAAATTGGTTCATTTGATATTCTTTGACATTTTTATTAAAACTTTTATTCTAATAATGAAGCATGGCCACAACTGAAGTCATTTTTATTAGTTTGAATACATCTTCCTTTTGCTTATTTTCAGATAACTTACATGTTTTCTGCCTCCTTTCTTTTGCAGAACACGCTAAATATAACAAACAATAACTATTATGCTGTTGAAGTTGAAAACATTACTGCACAAGTTCAGTTTTCAAAAACAGTTATTGGAAAGTCACGCTTAAACAACATAACAAACATTGGTCCATTGGATATGAGACAGGTAAGCTTCAGTCATGAAATTCTTTGAAGAAGTTAAATGAGTCTCAGCTTTATCGTACTACCTTAAAGGAAGTGGGGGTTTCCTCAAAAACTTGACTTTGAAATGTGTTCCATCTATAATAAAAAAAAGCATAATATACTAATTAGACTGGACAGCTGAACAACCTTTTGGATGTCCTTCTGGTTGACCTTCTGGATGAAGCCGGGGCTGCTAGAGCCGAGGCAAGCCACCAGGCTGCAAAGGCTGAGCCCCTTGCACGAATTTCGTGTATCAGCCTCTAGTAAATATCCTATAAAATAAAAGGGTAATATGCAAATTGACCCTAACAGCAGAACGACTGCTGGACCAGTCACTATGAGGCACACTGACCACCTCTTGGTCCCTTTCCCCACCAGCAGGCTGCCATTACCCTATGGCTACCCTCAGCAGGAATGGGGCCCATGAGCAGGCAGGAACAGCCAACCTCTCCGTTCTTTCCCCCAGCCGTCAGGCATCGATCACCCCTTGGCGAACGGGAACTGGGGCTGAGTAGTGGGGCCAGCTAAGGGCAGCTGGGGAAGATGGCCCTGGTTGCAGGCCAGGCCTAGGCACTGCCCGTGCATGAATTTTGTGTGTCGGTAGCCTCTAATATAAGAGTAAGTGTTAGCATCAGACTCGTAAAGGGAGATTTCTGAACTCTTGGAAGTTATGAAATGTATCTGAAATGTTTGATTATTGATCCAATTCTCTCTCTTTATTTTTATTTTTTGCCTTTCAGATTGATTATACAGTACCTACTATCATAGCAGAGGAAATGAGTTATATGTAGTAAGTTCTGATTTTTATTTTTCTCTCATTAAATTATAAAATATGAATTAAATATGTATGTATTTTATCTCCCATAATCTTAGCAGTCACAAGACCACATTTTGGAATATTCCTTCTGGCTTTTGCTTATCTCTGTTTTCCTCTTCTCCCTTTTCACCATACTTGATATTTATGTGCAACACCTGATATTTTTTTTTTTTTAATTAAGATCATATATACAGTGTCACTTTATGTTTGCTATTTTAAAATCATATTCTCATATATTCTTTTATTTATTGATGGTTTATTATAGGAAGATTTATAATGCTAATACAGTCAAGCCTCATTTCTCAAATGTTTCTCATCTCAAATAATTCTGTTCTCAACCCAGTTCACAGAAAAAAAAAAAAATATGGGTTCTTAAAGTAAACCAAACTTTGGTTTTCAATGTTCATGCTGATACCTCAGCATGACAAAAAAGTCTCTCTCAGGCAACTGGGAGAAAATATTTTTGTTGCAGGCTAAATCAACCATTAACACAATTTTAAAACAGAGAGAGGCTCTAGAGTGCTAATGGCCCTAGCTGATTTGGCTCACTGGATAGAATTTAGGCCTGTGGATTGAAGAATCCCTGATTCCATTTCAGTCAAGAGTACCTGCCTCGGGGGCAGGCTTGATCTCCAGTAGGGGGCATGAAAATCAATGATGTTTTCATCCCTCTCCTTTCCTATCTCTCTAAAAATCAATAAAAAAAAAAACATTGGGAAAAGGTCAGAGCAGGCAGGAAAGGTCACTGGGGGGGAAAGGAGACATATATAATATTTTCAACAGCAAAGAATTTAAATTAAAAAGATTAAAAATATTAATAATTAAATATATAATGACATATTTTAGGATAAGAAGATAAAGAAGTTTTAAAAAAAAAAAAAATGGGGCAGGGAAGAGTGCTAGTATTGCTGAGGGTGTGAATGAAAGAATGATTACAGGCAATTGAAGAGGTAGAAAAACTGATGTTGATTTGGGTAAATAAAAAGCCATTAGCCAGTGACAGCATTTCAGTGGCAGTGATATATGAACAAGCAGACACTGCATGCTGACCTCCCTGAAAGATACCCCTGGAACAAGTGCTGACAGTGATTCCTTTACGGCCAGTAAGGGTGGTTTGATAAATGTAAGAAGTAAAGTGTTTTGGTTTTTTTTAGATTAAACAGTACATTTGATATGTACTCTGTGTAAGAAAGGTTAAAACGGGGAATCATTTGGGGTCTGGAATGGATTCATTTAATTTATATTATTTCTAACGGGGAAATGATATGGATTTTTAAACAAATTGCTTGTGGAACAAATTAAGTTTAAACTGATGTTCCACTTTAATGTATAATACTCTTGAATGAATTTTGGGTGTCGGGAGCCTCTGGTATAAGAGGCTTGTCATTTTGTTGTTCTAAAACTTATAAATTGTTTCTAAATGATTATTTACTCTTGTTAAGCAAAACAGTGATAAATTTTTATCATCTATTAATATTAGCCTGATATAAAACTTCTGAACAATAAACTGATTAGTGAAATTTCAAAAGGTGAAAAGTAAAAGTAGGGGGAGAGACAAAGTGGCGGCAGTATAGGCAGACTGGTGCAGCCACTGTGCAGAACAGTATGGAGTTCCCTCAGAAAATTAAAAATGGAGCTCCCATTTGACCCAGGGATCCCACTTCTAGAAACTGGAAACACCAACCAAAAAGGATATATGCACCCCTATGTTGATAGCAGCACAATTTACAATAGCTGAGATTTGGAAACAGCCTGAGTACCCATCTGCAGATGAGTGGATTAAGAAACTGTGGTACATCTACACAATGGAATACTGTGCTGCAGTAAAAAAGAAGGAACTCCTACCATTTGCAACAGCATGGATGGTCCTGGAGAGCGTTATGCTAAGCAAAATAAGTCAGTTGGCGAAAGATAAATATCACATGATCTCATTTGTGGGAAATAATGAACAACATAACTGATGAACAAAAACTGATCCAGAGACAGAGAAGAATCATTCAGACTGTCAGACCTCAGAGAGAAGGCACGGGAGGGTGGGGGTAAGGGAGAAAGATCAAAGAATTTGTATACATGCATATAAGCCTAACCAGTGGACACAGACACAAGAGGTAAGGGCATGAGCAGAGGGGTGGGTTGCAATGTGGGAATAGGACACATATGTAATAAGTTAATCAATTAAAAACAATTAAATTTTTAAAAAGTAAAAGTAAACTGCTCTGGCCTATGTGGTTGATCATCATCCATGCACTGAAAGGTCACCTGTTAGGAAAATATTAATCATGTGAGATAGAGGAAATGATCAACCAATACTGCTTACTTATTATATCTTAATAGTATCACTTAGCTTTAGCATTGGAAGAATTGTAATTAAACTTTTACATTTATGTCATAGGTATCATCTGTTCACATTGTTTTCTCTTTAACAGTGACTTCTGTACACTGCCATCCATCAAAGTGCATAACATCGTTCTCATGATGCAGTGAGTATGAATTTTTTGAAAAAGACATTTCTTTGTATAAATTTCAGATTAATAAAATTGGCTTAGAGCAGCAATTTTTAACTGATGTACTCTGAGAATTTTTAAAGCATGCAATACCTGACTAGTCAGGGACAGTGACCTCTTTTCCCTTAGATTATAAAAAATAAATAAATAACAGCCAACATAATATAGCTTTCTAGTGTGTATGCCCTGTCACAAACCATAAGTATATAGGTCATATAATAGAGTTGCATCTTATTGGTCATGTTGCATAGTTTGCATCTGACATACTTTGAAGCAAAAAGGGTAGATAATCACTATTATTTTATTTTTTTATAAATCAAAATTATACCCTTTTTTTGATCAGCAAGTTAGTTTTTGGTGTGTTGCAGAATTTTAGTAACTAGATTATGTGTTCCATGAGCCGAAAAGGTTGAAAATCACTGACTTGGAGCATACTCAGCATTTTTACAATACCATATCAATTGGGTTTTATGTCTTACAAGAGTGCTCTGATGTCCAATAACTATTATCCCATGATACAAATGAGGAGATGGGAGCTCAAGAAGTATTAGTACAGGATCACATGCTGCTGAATAGTGAACCTGGACCTTGCAAGAACTCAGGAAAATGTCAGGGGTTGGGACAAAGGGGAGGACTGAACTTAGCCTCCAATTCCTTGCTCCCTTTGGTAAATGATCATTAGTATTAGTGAGGAGAAATAACGTTACTGGTTTGTATATTGGGTGTTACCCTAAGCTGTTAAAACATTGTAGGTTATAGGTTTGGAATTTGGGCCATGAGCCTAACATTTGATAAACCCTTTTTCTATAACTATGATTTTTAATAATATGATGAACTTACTCTATATTTTTAACTAAAGATAGGTGTTTTTAAAAAAAAAATTACATTTGTTGTATATAATTATTTGGATAGAGTTTGCTCAGCCAGCATTCCTGTTGTCTGTTGAGAAAATGTTTCCTAGGAGACCCATGTCCAGAATATGATGCTGTCATCAATCAAATCTCTCTCTGAAGAGAATTTTAATGTCTAAAAGTATTCTCAATTGAGAAAACTTTTATATATGTAATTATTCAATGTTTCTCCACATTTATTTTATTTTATTTTAGAGTCACTGTGACAACAACATACTTTGGACATTCTGAACAGATATCCCAGGAGAGGTACCAGTACGTTGACTGTGGAAGGAACACGACTTATCACCTGGGCCAGTCTGAGTACCTGAATGTTCTTCAGCCACAACACTGAAAGCTGGACGAGATGCGGCTAGAGAAGAAGAAACAGTATTGATTTTTTTTTTTTTTTTTTAATCCTCACCTGAGGGTATTTTTCTATTGATTTTTAGAGTCAGAGGGGGGGAGAGACAGAGAAACATTGATGTTTAAAGAGACCTGGGGTCGGGGATTTAGCCTGCAACTGAGTATGTGCCCTTGACCAACACACAGTCTACTGAGCCACCCTGGCTAGGCCCCTGTTGTTATTTTTTAAACTCTGAAGGATGACGGACTTACTTTCTGAAAGGGGATCTTACATTGAACAACCTAAATTTTATACTACTCTCTATTTACAGCACTCTATACAGCTAAAAGTATGTCTCTGCAGCTCTCTACTCCCAAGTACAAGACATTGGTACCAGGAACTTTACTTAAATCTAAGGTTACTGATTGGTTTTCTTCTCCCCGCTAATATCACACCCCTTAACCCCCACTCCCCAAAGGTGGAAACTGAGACTTTCCCTACAGGAAAATAAATATTTAAGGTTCACAGCTCCAATCACTACTGAAAACATAAGTTTGGTAATGAATATAATTCAAAAAAATTTATTTCTGAAAGATTTTATAGACTTATTTACTGATAGTTTATGCATTATGAAAGACTTTTAAGGACCAACCATTTTTCCTATTTTATAATTCCCATTGCTACAAGGAAGTATTTCATCTATATGGTATAGTCATTTATCTTTTCACTAAACATTTTTAGTTTTTCATTTGTTGAAATTCTACTCATTTGCATTTTTTGTCCATTTTATTTCAAGCCAGTGCTTGAATAAAACAAATTAACCAAAATAATCTTTGCAAAATTCTATAAAGTCTCTAAATGTTTCACTTGTCTTTTCATTTTAGTTACAGTTTTGTGAAATTTTGGTATAATCTTCAAATATAATTAATGTATAATATTGTAAATAAATTGCATGGCTTTTATACAGCTTTAATGTCAAGTGATACAGATTCAAAAGAAAGATATCCATAAAAATAAAATAAATGAAATTCAGAAACCTATAGAATGTTAATATATTTCCATTTACATATTAGATCAGGCATAAAGTAAATTTTAAATAAAATATTTTGATGCTCCATTTCTTTTTTAATATTGCTTTTCATACTAAAAATTGTGAAGATACTTTTCATAATTACTAGGTACCCACATTATCAATTTTATGAATGCTTTGAGATAGAAATTCCTTTGGTTGAAATTATCTAAGAAATCCTGTCAATGAATGAAAGTGGCTATATCAAAATAAAATCTATATTATGCTTTTAAATATTTAATCACTTTGCACATCACATGGATATCATGCCTCTAGCAGTTACATTTTTAAGGTTTTCTACTTGTGGTTTGAATTTATTTAAAATTGTTTTCAAGTGTAAATTATTGACTTATTCACTTTGTTGTTTTATGCTTTCAATACCACTTACCAACTGGGCTTTTTGCCTTTTTACTTATTAAGATCTAAGTACCTTTTAAATACATACCACTAAGTGTAGGGGCTGACTACGCTATTCAAAAAAAGAGGGAGGGGCGACTTGATTGATATCTTTCTGTTGCCTCGTAACAAGAATAAGGCTCCCCTCATTAGACACCTACCCCAAAGTGTCTCACCTAAGTCTGAAACATCATTATTAATCAGTCTGACTCAATTCTGAAACATGTATTAAATTATTTATATTAATAACTAATTATTGAATTATTAATTACTATGAAGCCCTCCTTTCTAACTATTTGTCAACCCTTAATTTATTGCTAACTTAATCCAGTGTTACTGCTAAACTAAAATCAGCTCTTCATATTTATTATGGACTTCTGGTCAAACCCAATCTTTTAAGTTTTTTCCTTAGTTTTTTACTACTCATTCTTGAAATCCCACACTTCTCTAGTACTGATTCTATTTTTATTTTTCAAATCATTGTCATTTCACTTTCCCTCATTCTCTTCTGACATCTTTTATTGAGTATTATCTAGACCCTCTTTGACCTCATAATTTCTACTCCCGTGACTTCAGCAATGCAATCATCTATATCAGATCTTCCAAATCTGTTTCCACATGCCTGACCGATTACCCATCCAGTTTCCCATGTAGCTAGTGACCTAGAGATACTAATATTTCAGTGACTGTGTATAAAACCAAACAGTGTTTTACAAAATCTTATTTTTTGTTTTTTTCTCATCTTGTCCTCTTGTCCTGTTTCCTTCAAAATCACATTCATTTCTTCAGAATCATCCTTCAGATATGTCTTCTACAAAAATCAATCCTAATTTATTTTCTTTCTTTGTATCTTACAACCTTGGAAAACTATATAGTGTAAATTAAATGGATTTTTTTGTTGATCTAAAATTCTTTTGGATTCAGAGTATCTAAACTTACAATACCTACTTTCTGTGAGTTTAAGTCAGAAAAAAAAAAAACAGTAGAATTTAAAATAAGTATTTTTTTTTTAAAAAAAAAAAAAAAGGTAGTAGAGAAATAAAGATCACCTATGACTACTTTCAGAGTGGGTTAAGTAACTACCAGAATAAGCCTAAAATAGCAGGCTATACATTAATAACATTACAGAAGCCCATTCTGGTAAGGCCGAATTATAGCCTTTTTTTTTTTTTTTTTTTTTTTTAATCTGGGAAGAATAAATGAGGCTTATCTTTTCTTAGGTCATTGTCTGAGGTAATTTTTTACATGATAATAGGATAGGTATCAGTGCATTTTTTTCAAAATGCTCTCAAACCTTATCCTAAGGAATTCCAAGGATAACTTTCTCTTAAATTACACCTTTAATAGCCTGGCCATTCTAACAAGGTATAATACTATAACAAGCCCGTGTGGGGGGTATCACATGTATATACCCTGTATCCTTTTCAGAGCACTTTCATAGGTTTTTCTTAGGTGATTTACCGCAGCCCTGTGAGTTAGACAGGAGAGGGCACGATCCTCCTCTTTTGGAACAGGAAGGAGAGGCATGGAGAAGTTGAGGGACATGCTAAACTTGACACATTTAGTAAATAGTTTGGGCCAGACGTAGTTTTTCTGTTTCCTATATCTGTGCTCTCATTTAAAATATCCATTGGAAATGTCATTGACTCGGGTTAGTATGATCAAAAATTAGAGGAACTGTTCACATGCTTAATAGTCACACTCAAAATAATATTGATGTACTGTGGTTTAGTACCTGGAATATTTTAAATGGTAAATTAACACCAATAAAATATTTTGGACCATAATCTATAGCTTAATGGTTTTTGTAAAATTTAGTACTTGATCATTCCAATAAAGATATGACATGTCATCAGAGTAGACTATTTATAAGTAATAGAGGTTTTTTGAGATTTTAAATATGAACAGTATGAAAACATTAGATATCAGACCAATTACTTGAAATTGCTAAAATGGTTACTATATAATAAATAATATGTAAATGACTTTTTATTTGAGTAAAGTTTTTCTATGCCTTTTTTTGTTTAGGACAATGAGTTAATAATTTTTTTAAAGATTCATGACAAAATAAAATTCAAAAAAGCAAAGAAAATTCACTTCAGATCTTTTGAATTGTAGTTTGGAAATGACACAGTGCAGTGTTAAAATGTATAGGCAATGACTGCCAAAGCCTGATGAAAGTAACCTAGGACACTTCAAATGTTAGTCTAATGAGTCCTTTGTGCTTCTTAGCCTTATTATTGCGATATAATTTTGGATATTTCATTGGAGGGCATGTCCCCAACTGTCTCCCATGCTATTTTTTGTTTTTGTTTTTTAATTAGGGTTCTTAATTCTTTATATAATGATTACATATTATTTGAGAATATACTTTGTTAGATACTTGACCCTTAAGTCACTGCTAGGGATAGCTAATATTTATTGTTACTTACTGTGTCACATACTGTATTAATCTTTTGTGTGTATTATGTTACTCTTCAGAAGAGCTCTCTAAGGTGGACACTGTTGTAACCTCCCATTTTATAAGAGAGAAAATTGAGTTTTAAGGAAGTTAAGAAATATAGTTAAGATTTTAAATGGCAGATTCAAGATTTACAAGCCTGTAACTCAAGCATTATTGCTCTTACAGTTAGCATATTTTCTTTCCAGTCTTAGAAAGTGATTGCAAAAATATATTGGTGGTTGTACTTACCATATAAAACTTTGAAGTGTTTGATAGTACAGTTGATCCTTGAACAATGAAGGGAAAGTTGGGGATGGAGACCTACCACACAGTTGATAATTGGCATATGCTAGTAAATACAGTCATCTGCATATGCTGATTTTCTTTTCTTTTCTTTTTTTTTTATTGTGGCAGCTCCACTCAGCCAGAAGCCAGCACTAGGGATGTCAAACTGATGTTTTAGGCCTGCTCCCTCCAGGCCTAAGCCATTAGTCGGACATTCCTCAAGCACTCCTCTGCTGTGAGAGGGCGCAGGCTGAGGGCCACCCCTCCCCAGGTGCACCAATTTCATGCACCGGGCTTCCAGTTTGGATATAAATAGGCCTCTGCAGTCCAAACCTGTGTTGTTCAAGGGTCAACTGTTTTCAAAAGAATTATTAGGAGACTTTATTATTTTGTAGATATTTGGTATAAAAATGTTTATCATTGATTTATAAATATATTTTTGTTAGGATTTATTTCTTTTAAAGGATGAAAAATTTTAAATTTAAAAATACGTATCAACCTTCTTTGATTAGCAGTATAAATTGACTTTCAAGCTATTAAGTTGCAAGCCAAAGGTTGTTACATTCGGTCATAACACCTTGAAAGCAGCAAATACTTGACTCACATTCACATAGAAATAATTAACTTGATTTATTTTGTAAAAATATTTGAAATGAGATGTTTATCTTAAACTTTTATTTTAAGGGAAAAATGTGTTTGAGAAGGTAGGGTTAAAAGACTGTTAAACATTATTTCTTTAAAAAATGTATTTTTACATGAAAACAATATATTTACAATGTTCTTGAAACAAAAATTTCACTTCTATATCCCAGATCG